TTAATTCTTTTTTAATTTAATTATGTTAAAATTGATTATTACAAGTAAAATTTTTTATTTATAAAATATAACTGTTAGTAATTAATAATTTTATATTAATAGATAAATAAATATTTATACTTTATATTAAAAAATAAAACATATTACATTTAAGTTTTATAAACAAAAGAATAAAAATAAAAATTGATAATAACAATTACCTTAACTTTCCATTAAAAATGAAAAGAACATTGTCTGTAAAAAAGCATTATTTCTCTCTTTTAAAAAAAAATTAATTATCAAGAAATCTATATCATTTATCAAGAATCCTATAATTATTTTTATTGAAAAAATTATCTAAATACATCATGATATCATATATATAATCAAAGTCTTAATACTAATCTAGTAACTAACGTACTCTAAAAAATCCAATACAGTATGATTTACTAAACAAATCTTCACTCTCAGTATCAAGCGCCCAACCAAGCCCATTCTTTTGTTTGGGTTAAATCTTCATGTTCCTTTATGTTGTGTAATAGGTATTACACAATCTGCTAGACGAGTTACCCATTTTCTGAAATGTGAAAGCACAGCGTCTTTGTTCTTGATCCATAAAAATGATTTTGCTAGTATCAACTCCAACTAATGTTCTCCAAAATCAGCTTCATCTTTAAAAACTTTTGACATTACAGCATTCATGAACATGGTCCACACGACATATATAATAAAAACCCACCAGAAAAACAGCAAGACCTGGAAATTCAAGATCCAAAAATCAATAAAATCCAAGAGAATTGACAGAAAGTTTTACCCTTTTGTAGAACTGACAAAGCCTAAACTCAAAAAACCTAAAATCAAATAAAACCCAGATGAGAAAATCCTTCTAAATATTAATCACGTTATCAAGAAACAGACATGCAATGCAAAACCATAATGGGAAGAATACCCAATTCAAAGCTGCTTTAGAACCTAAAAATCAAACCTAAAAACAAGAAACCAAAAAAAAGCATGACAATGTAGAAAGGTTTTCAAGTCATCCTCCTTAACTTACTTAGAACCTAAAAATCAAACCTAAAAACAAGAAACCAAAAAAAAGCATGACAATGTAGAAAGGTTTTCAAGTCATCCTCCTTAACTTACCAAGCACACAGATATTCACTCCATCCACCGCACAGATGCATCAGGACAAAGCAAGACAAACATAAAGACAAAGATAGAGGGAGAACATGGGTTTTTGAAGAAAAGAAAATTCTCCAAAAAGATGCATTATTTAAAAAATGGGGCAAATTTGAAAGACTTTTCAAGATTAAGAAATTCGTAAGAATAACTTTTGTTGGGAACACATAAGGTTTAGCAGGAAGACAGAAAGACATAGTGGAAGAAACAGAAGTAGAAACAAGAAAAGCTTGAAGCATTAGGAGGATGAACAAGAGTGATGCCATAATATCAACTAGATTCTGAATGTCTTGGGGGATAGAATGCATAGGCTTGCATTGTCGGGTATTTATACAAGTAAAAAAGTTTCTTGGCAAAACTCTCACAACTTGATGAATGTCCGCTAGCACAAGTCATTGTTA